GTGGGGCCTTGGGGGCCATGTCTTGGCTTCCAGGGCTGGCGTGGGTACCTCTCCTGCCTCACTCCAGTCCCAGCCTGATTTTCTCTCCATAAAACAAGCTCCATTGTCTATGGAGTTCCGACTTGAACATTGCAAGTGTTGGGCCACTCACTACCTGCCTTAACATTTCTAGACCATTCCATTTGCTGTACAGGGACTAATCCCCCCCCCCTTTTTCCCCCTTTTACAAATATTTTATTTATTTATTTGTGAGAGACACACGCAGAGAGAGAGGCAGAGACACAGGCAGAGGGAGAAGCAGGCTCCCTGCGGGGAGCCCAATGCGGCACTCTATCCCAAGATCAGGACCTGAGCCAAAGGCAGACCCTCAACCACTAAGCCACCCAGGCATCCCAAGGGACTAATCTTTATTGAGATCTTGCTGAATGCTGGGTGCTTCATACACTTGCTCTTCTTGGGGGGCAGAGGAGGGAGAGAGTGAGAGTGAGAGCATGAGCTGGGGACAGGGGCAGGAGCAGAGGGCAGAGAGAGAGAGAATCTTAAGCAGGTTCCACATCCAGCATGAAGCCCAGTGCTGGGCTTGATCTGACGGCCCTAAGGTCATGACCAAAGCCAAAATCAAGAGTTGAACACTTAACCCACTGAGCCACCCAGGTGCCCTGATATATTTGTTGTTTGTTTTTTTTTTTAAAGATTTTATTTATTTATTCATGAGGGACACAGAGAGGGAGAGGCAGAGGGAGAAGCAGACTCCATGCAGGGAGCCCGGTGTGGGACTTGATCCCAGGTCTCCAGGATCATCCCCTGAGCTGAAGGCAGGCGCTTAACTGCTGAGCCACCCAGACATCCCTACATTTGCTTTTATTATTTTATTTTACTTTCATTTTTTAAAGTTAACATGCAGTGTTATGAGTTTTAGGGGTACAGTATGGTGTGTCAGCAACTCTATACATTACCCAGCACTCACCATGCTAAGGGTACTCTTGATCCCCATCTCACCTACCTCACCCATCCCCCACCCACTTCCCCTCTGCTCACCACCAGTTTGTTCTCTAGAGTTAAAAGTCTGTTTTTTGGCTTGTCTCTTTTTCCTTTGTTTATTTTTTTTAAATTCCACATATGCATGAAATCATATGGTATTTGTCTTTCTCTGACTTACTTCACTTAGCATTACACCTTGTAGCCCTGTAGATCTATCCATGGTGTCGCAAATGTCAAGACTTCATTCTTTTTTATGGTTGAGTAATACTCCAGAGTGAGAGTGTGTGTGTGTGTGAGTGTGTGTGTGTCTACACTGTATCTTCTTCATCCGTTCATTGTTGATGGACAACCTAGGCTGCTTGCATAATTTGGCTGTCATAAATAATGCTGCAGTAGACACACTTGTCCTTCTAGAACCTCACTGGTGTCACCTCTGGAGACATGGGGTGGAGGCTCAGAGAAAGGGAGTGATTTGCCTGAGATGACATGGCAAGTGAGGCACAGGGGGCAGGTCTGCCCCCTGGATGGATGGGGGAAGGGGGCTGTGGGGTTTGCTCTCACATTTCCAACCCCAGTCTTAGATCTGGCACCCAGCTTCTGCTGGCAGATTAAGCTCCAGAGGAGAGAGATGGGGGGCTGCTCAGGCCAAGTTCAGGGAAAGGCTGGCCCCTTATATGCCACCAGGTGCCTCGTGGCACCCAGGCCCTCTTTCTCGCTGCATCTCAGAAGCCTTCCCTGACTCGGGCTACCCTCAGGGGGACATAGACCAACCATTCTCCCTCCTACCTCAGGATGAAATGGGGGCAAAGCATAAAGATGTGAGGAATGGAAACAGGCAAGAAAATGTGGTGAAGGGAAGAGAAGGATGAGTCAGGAAGGGGGTGGCCCAGGCTTATACTCTCAGGGCTGCCTCTGGCCCTGGTCCACTTGCAGGTCCTGCCACAGTATGGGCTGCACAAGTGGGGACCATGGTAAGAAAAAACAGAGCTGTGAGGGTCTGCTTTTGAAACTCGTGCCTGGAATTCAGGCCTTGGTGTCTAACCCGTTTTTGGTTACTCTGGTGAGGTCAGAGCCTTTTCAACAGCAGTGCTTTGTTTTTTTGTGGGGGGGAGTTGAGGGAAAGTGTGAGCACCCACAAGCTGAGGAGAGAGGGAGATGGAGGTGCTGGAGAAGTTCTTTATCCTTGGCACCCCCTAAAAGGCATGGAAAGGTCTAGAAAGATTGGGAATTGGATGTGTGTGAGGGAGATGAGGCAGTTTCTTTGTTTAGGCTGGTGGAGAGGGAGAGAACTTGGGGCTGGAGTCCCTCTTGGCCCATGCTGCTCGGTTGGCATACCTGCCTGCCCAGGCTTCATCCTCCCTCTGAGGCCACAGGGGCCTGGGAACCAGAGGCTGGGGCAGGACTTGCTAGTGGTCTGTTTGGCCACAAGAGCTCAAGGTGACAACCTGGGCAGCTGGCCATACTTTGTTCATCTGTATGTGTCGAACTTTGACCTTACTCAGAGGTACTGCCTAGGGGAGGCACTCCTAGGTACCTCCTCAAAAGACCCCCAGAGCCTGTCACCCTAGGGCTGCACCCCTGCGTCCCAGGGATTAGGCTGTCTCCTGGCCTCCCAGGACCCTACAGGCAATAAGTGAGCCAGGTTTGGCCCTCAGGGACTGCTGGGAGCAGGCTGTGAGACCTCAGGGGCTGGAGCTGACTTTGCAGACCCCCTCCCCCCATCCCAGACCCTGGTCTCTCGGCAAAAGGATATCTGCACAGAGAGACAGGAATCAGGTGCAAGGATTATGGGAATGTGTACTTTGGGAGGAGGGGATCCCTCACTCTGGGCCTCAGTTTCCTGGCAGTGACCTGTTCTTAGGCGTCCATGTGGTGGGGGGTGCCCCAGGAAGAGGAGGTCCCCACATCCACCACCAGCAGCCCTTGGCGGTAATTCAGCGCTTCGTGGTCCTGAGCGCTGCACCCATGTTCTTTTTCACTTCTCCCATTCGAGGCCAGAGAGATGTGATGATCCCGTTATCTAGAGAAGTAAACTGAGGCCTAGCGGTGGAGACCTGCTCAGAGCGCCAGCGGTGTGTGAAGAGTGTTGGGGCATCCGTGCCGGGGCCTCCCGGTCCCGCGTCCACTCCGCAGCCCTCCTCTGAAGTGCTAACGGAGGTGGTTGGAGCTGGGGGCGTGGCGGGGCTGTGACCGCCAGTAACCCCGGCGGCTGTCGGCGCCGAGCGGGTTAAGGGCCCTCGCCCGCGAGTAACCCCGGCCCCATTCAGCGCCGCGGGGTGAAACCCGAGCTCGAGCCGCCGTCGGGGGTGGGGCGGGGGCAGGGGCGGGGCCCTAGTGAGGCAGCGGCGCGGCCGCTGATTGGCCGCGCGCGCTCACCCCATGCCCGGCCCGCGGCCCCGAGGGGCGGGGCCTGCGGGGGCGGGGCCTGCGGGGGGCGGGGCGCTCCGCGGGCTTTATAGCGCGGCGGAGCCCTGACAGGTGAAGTCGGCGCCGCGCGGAGACCGGCAGGCCAGCCGCCGGGGCGCCCCGAAGGGGCGGCGGGCGCGGGCCACGGAGCCATGGATTGCACATTCGAAGGTATTTTTTTGGAGGACTCCCCACCCCTTTATCACAGAGCCTCCACCTCCGCGGCGGGGTCACCATCCCCGGTTTCCTCAGAGGGGGGCGTGTGTGCAGCGGCGGTGGACTCCCTGCAGAAAGAGCTGGTTCCCGAGGGGCGGGGGCGGCTGCCAGCTCCCGGCGCCCACTGGAGTTGGCGGGCCGCCCCCACCCTCAGTAGTTACCCCCACCCCGGCGTCTGGAGTGAGAGAGCGGCTTTCCAACGACCTCGGCCCGCTCTGAGGCAGCGGGGGCAGAAGCAGGGAGGAGGCCACTTGTCCCCTGTCCCTCGGAACCAAATCTGGGACCCCAGTCCTGGATTGAGTCAGCTTTGCTTTCAGGGCCTCAGTTTCCCCCATCTTGTCAGAGGGGCTCATGAGGGTGGGGGTGAGGGATCAGGGCCCCGCCAATGAAAGTGCTATAAGCCTTTAGGCTGGGCTTGGACTCGAAGGGCCCACAAGGTGTTTGCCCTGGAGGGCCCAGGGGGACTGAGCCTGGCACCCCCATCACGGGCTCTGGGAGGCCGGAGGAAGGTCCCCTCCTGCATAAACTGCCCTGCGTGGCCACCTGTCAGTAGGCAGGAGGCAGGCAACCGTGAGGCCTGCTGCGGGCCAGCTTCCTGCTCTGCCAAGCCTCGCAGCAGCCCTGCCATGAAGGGCTTCATCTTGTTTTGTTGTACAGATGAGGAAACTGAGGCTCAGTGAGAGGAGGCAGTTGGCCCAGGCCAACTGGGGATCTTGTGGAGCACTTTAACCCAGTGGGTGGCTGTCCCTAGTGGGTTAGAGGGCCTCAGGCCAACAGCCAGGCAGCTAGTCGTCACCTGCCAGCTAGGGGAGAGGCTGAAGCAGTCGCTGGGAGTGTGTCCCAGTCTGTACGAGGAGGAAGGAGTCGGTACGGCCAGCATTCTGTTTTATAGGGGGGAAACTGAAGCCTTGAATAGCTTGGTCCTGAGGCTGCTTGGCCATAGACGTGGTCTGGGCTCGTGCCCAGAACATGGAGGGACACACTGGTTGGCACATACGTGGCCGGCAGCTGGGTCAGCCCTAAGCCTCGGTCTGTTCCACGGAGGAATGGGTTGGTGTTGGCAGCTCTCAAGTCAGCCGTCTAGAGCCCAGACCCCAATTCTGCCTCAGCATAGGTGTGGGGCAAGGTAATGGGCCTCATGGGGTGCTGACCTCGTCGGGCTGTTGTACAGGCTGTTTGATACATGCGAAGCACCAGGCACTGCTCCAGATGTCACAGGTGCCCAAGAAAGGGCTTTATGTCTGGGAGCACGGGCTCATGTGGGTGGCTTTCTATTTCTGCATCATTGCCCCACATATCCAGCTGTGTGGACAAGAGGCATGCAGTGTGTGATGCCCTGTACTGGGGCCATCCCCCTGCCCCACTGTCACTCACTCAGCCTCTTCTTCTTTCTCCAGACATGCTTCAGCTCATCAACAACCAAGACAGCGACTTCCCGGGCCTGTTCGACCCACCCTATGCCGGGGGTGGGGCAGGGGGCACAGACCCTGCCAGTCCTGATGCCAGCTCCCCAGGCAGCTTGTCCCCATCTCCTGCCACAATGAGCTCTCCACTGGATGGATTCCTGGGGGGACCCAAGGCGACACCTCCACCCTCGTCCCCTCCCCAGCCTGCCCCCACCTCACTGAAGATGTACCCACCTGGGCCTGCTTTCTCCCCTGGGCCTGGCATCAAGGAGGAGCCACTGCCGCTGACTATCCTGCAGCCCCCAACCCCGCAGCCCCTGCCAGGGTCCCTCCTGCCCCAGAGCTTCCCGGCTCCAGCCCCACCACAGTTCAGCTCTGCCCCTGCATTGGGCTATCCCGGCCCCACTGGAGGCTTCTCCACAGGTAAGGGTGTGTGTGTGGGGACAACAGGAGTACAGAGAGGAGGGTCTACTATGGCCTCCATAGAGGAATTTGCAGGTTTTAGAGATCGGGCCTTTGCTCTACTGCCTCAGACGCCCCCGTTACTAGCGGTTCTTGTGTTCTTGCTATTGTTGGGTGAAGCACTGCCTCCCATTCTGTCGGGGTGTCCACATCAGTGCTGCCCTTCCAGAGACAAGTGCGTGGCTGGAATGCTAGCACATTTGCATCAGAGCTCTAGGCAGGGGTTGTCCCCACAGGAAACTGAAGCGTGAGGGGTGATGACTCATCACAGGTCATAGGGTGATAGGGTCCTGAGGGGTGGGTTGAAAGGGGTTAGGGTAGCCTGTGTCCGCAGCCCCAGCCTTTATCTCTGCAGGGACCCCTCCAGGGAGCACCCCGCAGCCGCTGCCTGGCCTGCCACTGGCTTCCCTGCCAGGGGTCCCGCCCGTCTCCTTGCACACCCAGGTCCAGAATGCGGCCCCCCAGCCGCTGTTGACAGCCACAGCCAACCCCACAGCAGCCCCCGGAACAACCACTGTGACCTCGCAGATCCAGCAGGTCCCGGTGAGGAGGTCTGGCCAGGTGTCGGGGAGGTAGCAGCCCCTAGTGCAGACTCACAGCTCTTGGCTAAGGCCTCTCCCACTCCCAGGTCCTGCTGCAGCCCCACTTCATCAAGGCTGACTCTTTGCTTCTGACAACCATGAAAACAGACATGGCAACCACTGTGAAGGCGGCGGGTATCAGCTCCCTGGCCCCTGGCACGGCTGTACAAACGGGGCCCTTGCAGGTGGGTAACATGGGGAGGGCAGGAAGTCAGGGCTCTGTGCATGAGCATGCCCAGCTGTTAACCTGTGCCTGGCCCTTCAGACCCTGGTGAGCGGAGGAACTATCCTGGCGACGGTACCACTGGTAGTGGACACTGAGAAGCTGCCCATCAACCGGCTAGCAGCTGGTGGCAAGGCCCTGGGCTCGGCTCAGAACCGTGGTGAGAAGCGGACAGCCCACAACGCCATTGAGAAGCGCTACCGTTCCTCCATCAATGACAAAATCGTGGAGCTCAAGGACCTGGTGGTGGGCACTGAAGCAAAGGTGCGGGCCGAGGCGTTCAGAGACACTCTGGGCTGACCCCGGGGAAGGAGGGGACCGGAAGAACCAGGACTGAGCCTGGGCCATGGGCTTAAGCAACTCTTTGGGCCTGGCCAGTGCCATTGATTCGGCTGAACCTTATGGAGGGTGCCCTGTGTCCCAGGGGCTAATCTGGATCCTGGGGATACAGCAGTGAACAGACAGACAAAAATCCTGCTGTCTGGAGACTGATATTCTAGTGGGGATCTAGTGGGGGATGTGACAGGGGGGCGGTGGTGTGTGATGATCAACAGGATAAATAAGTAAGCATTAGAGCTGCCCGATGGGGATAAGTGCTGTGGAGGAAAACAAAGCAGGAAGAGGGGCGGTGAGAGCTGCACATCTGAAGCACCTCAGAAAGGTGATGTTACATAAGCAAAGACCTGGAGGAGGTGAGGGAGTTAGCCAGATGCTGTTGGATGTCTTTGATGTATTAATTCTTATGCCTATCCAGGGAGATAGGTTCTACTAGGGGAAGAATATTCCATGTAGAGGGAACAGCAGGTGCAAGGGTCCTGAGGTAGCAGTATTGTGAGGCAGCCCCACTCCCCCTTGCCTTGGTGCCCACTTGCCAGGCCTGACTGGCCCCTGTTCTCTCTCCCTCCCACCCCCTGCAGCTGAATAAGTCTGCTGTCTTGCGCAAGGCCATCGATTACATCCGCTTCCTACAACAGAGCAACCAGAAGCTCAAGCAGGAGAACCTGAGTCTCCGCACTGCTGCCCACAAAAGCAGTGAGTCCTGGCATCACCCTGCCCCTGGCTCTGCACTGCCCCACCCCAACTCTCATGCCTGCCCCTTCAGCTCTGACCCCCGGGCCCCGATGTGGGCCCCAGCTTGGCCCTCAAGAGCTAGACCGACTCCCAGTTCCGCCCTCTCCAGGGCCCTAAGCTGTTTTGGGGTGGGGTATCTAGCCTTCACCCCCGGCCCTGTTCCTTTTGGGCCTGCAGAGTCACTGAAGGACCTGGTATCAGTCTGTGGCGGAGGAGGAAATACAGACGTGTCCATGGAGAGCGGGAAGCCTGAGGTGGTGGACACACTTAGCCCGCCACCCTCGGACGCCGGCTCACCGTCTCAGAGCAGCCCCTTGTCCCTGGGAGGCAAGAGCGGTGGCAGTGCCGGCAGTGGCAGTGACTCGGAGCCTGACAGCCCAGTCTTTGAGGATAGCCAGGTTGGGCCCTGCTGTGTCCCCCCGTCTGTCTCCCCCTCAATCTCTGAGCCCCAGGATGGGTGTAGGAAGCAGCCCCTAATGTATCCCATCTCCCATGTGACAGAAAAACCGGCCTGTAGCCATGTAGGGGGCTCCCACAGTGAGGCTGGGTAGGGTGCCCATCCCTCCCTCCTGTTGCATCCTCTCTGGGCACCTTGTGCCCTGCCCTGGCGAACCTGCCCACCCCTTCCAGGTGAAGCCGGAGCAGCTGCTGTCCCCCCACAGCCGGGGTATGCTGGACCGCTCCCGCCTGGCCCTGTGCACCCTTGTCTTCCTCTGCCTCTCCTGCAACCCCCTGGCCTCCTTGCTGGGCAGCTGGGGTCCCCCCAGCCCCTCGGATGCCGGCAGCACCTACCATGGTCCTGGCCGCAATGTGCTGGGCACCGAGGGCAGAGGTAGGATAGGCCCAGTCCAGGTTATCCCTGGGGTGGGGGGAAGGGGTACTCGGGTATCTATCCAAAGCCTATGGAGCCAGGTCCCCAGCCCTTCTGTCTGCCCCTAGATGGCCCTGGCTGGACCCCGTGGCTGCTGCCCCCGCTGATCTGGCTAACCAATGGGCTGCTGGTGCTCACCTCCTTGGCGCTTCTCTTCATCTATGGAGAGCCGGTCACGCGGCCCCACTCTGGCCCTGCTGTGCGCTTCTGGAGGCATCGCAAACAGGCTGACCTGGACCTGGCCCGGGTAAGGGGCTGGATCCAGGGACTGGGGGTTGGGAGATTGGGCGGGACCGGGACCTGGGGTGGCACTTGGGCAGGGGCTGGGTGGCACTCCTCTTCCCTGCCCCATACTCCCTGCTCTTGTCTACCCTGCAGACTCCTGCTGACTGGGGGACACCAGGGTCATGGTGGGGAGCCCAAGGTGGGAGGATCTTCAGAGCAGGAGGGGTATGGTGTGCTCAGATGCTCTGACCCTCCATTGCTCACCTGGAAAACCCCATCCCAGGGAGACTTTCCTCAAGCTGCACAGCAGCTGTGGCTGGCCCTGCGGGCCCTGGGCCGGCCGCTCCCCACCTCCCACCTGGACCTGGCCTGTAGCCTACTCTGGAACCTCATCCGCCACCTGCTGCAGCGTCTCTGGGTGGGCCGATGGCTGGCAGGCCGGGCAGGGGGCCTGCAGAGGGACTGTGCCCTGCAGGCGGACGCCCGCACGAGCGCCCGGGACGCGGCACTCGTCTACCACAAGCTGCACCAGCTGCATACCATGGGTATAAAGGATGGGGGGCTGGGCTGGAGGGGCTCCCGCTGCCCTGACACCATACCCCTGCCTTATGGCCTGCCCATCTTTCAGGGAAGTACACAGGCGGGCACCTCACTGCCGCCAATCTGGCACTGAGTGCCCTCAACCTGGCGGAATGTGCAGGGGATGCTGTGTCCGTGGCCACGCTGGCTGAGATCTATGTGGCCGCTGCGCTGAGGGTCAAGACCAGTCTCCCGAGGGCCTTGCATTTTCTGACAGTGAGTGGGTGGTGGGCTGGTGGGGGCAGGACTGGGGACTTGTCTTTGCAGCTCTTTCCAGTGGCTCCCTGGGCAAGGGGCTGCCCAAGAGGAGGCAGTGGGTTCCAGATGGTCTCCAGGCCCAGCTGGGCTCAGCCCTCGGTCTGGTCTGGGTTTGGAGTCCCTGTCTGGGTCCCTTGTGACAGCCCAGCTCCCTTCCCTCACAGCGCTTCTTCCTGAGTAGTGCCCGCCAGGCCTGCCTGGCACAGAGCGGGTCGGTGCCTCTTGCCATGCAGTGGCTATGCCACCCTGTGGGCCACCGTTTCTTCGTGGATGGGGACTGGGCCGTGTGCAGTTCCCCAAGGGAGAGCCTGTACAGCTTGGCCGGCAACCCAGGTGCTCTCCCATCCCCATGCCCATCCCCTGACCCCCTACCTCCTTTGTTCCCCTTTCCCCTTCCTCATCCTCATTCCTGTCCCGTCCCTTATCCCTGCGTCTCTGATGTCCCCCTCCCATCTGTTGTTACTGTGGAGGGGCTTCAGGAACAGGAAGGCTGGGTCTGTCTCAGTTGGGGCTCTTCAGAAGCAAAGAGGGAGACAGGAATTTGGGGGCAGGTGGTTGATTGGAGAGGTGATCCTAGGCAAGACCATTGTACAGTAAGGAGATCAAATGGAGAGAACAGAGCTGCTAAAGGCATTTTATTAAGTAGATTATACTGTCCAGGGTTGGTTATCCTATCCAAGGGCAGGCCGGGAAGATTTATCTGTCCCACCCACGTGCCCAGGAAAGAGCCCTTGGTGTGGAGAGGTAAATGTGGAGAGGAGGGGTAGGGCCCTTCCTGCCAGCCCGCTCACCCACTCCTTCCCACAGTGGACCCCTTGGCCCAGGTGACCCAGCTGTTCCGTGAACATCTCTTGGAGAGGGCACTGAATTGTGTGGCTCAGCCCAGTCCCAGCCCTGGATCAGCTGACGGGGACAGGTGAGTGTCCCTGTGCTCCCCTACCAGGCAAGCGCCCTCCACGGGAGAGTCTGAGAGTGGCTATGTACCGGGCCGCGTGTGAGTGGCCGCGTGTGAGTGGCGGGAGCTGGGCTATTGACCACACGCTGTGTGGCCTCAGGAGCATCTCACTTCCCCCTGGGGTCTGTTTTCCCACCAGCTTGCCAAGAAGAGACACAGAGCTGGGAGGTCAGGCTGTGCTCTGGTGGGGGGTGAGGAGGGCTGAGGCTTTCCCAGGACCCCCCCCCACCTGTCCTGACAGCCAGGCCTCTCTTCTGACACAGGGAGTTCTCTGATGCCCTTGGGTACCTACAGCTGCTAAACACCTGTTCTGATGCTGCCGGGGCTCCTGCTTGCAGCTTCTCCATCAGCTCCAGCATGGCCACCACCACTGGTGAGCCCCCAGACCCCTGCCCCGGGGACCCCCGGCTTGGCCCCAGCTCTACACCAATTCAGCTTGGTGCAGGGTGGCTGAGTTCCTGGGAGCCTCCCCACCTACACCCCTTGCTCCCTGCAGGCACAGACCCCATGGCCAAGTGGTGGGCCTCACTGACCACCATGGTGATCCACTGGCTGCGGCGCGATGAGGAGGCAGCCGAGCGGCTATACCCGCTGGTGGAGCACCTGCCCCGTGCCCTGCAGGAGTCTGAGTGAGTACAGGCCAGATTCTCCCGGACTCTCCAGCCTTCTGTGCAGTCAGGGTCACCACCCTTGAAGCCAGAACCAGGGCAGTGGGGAGTGTAGTGAGGGCCTGGGCCATGTCTGACCATCAGTCCTCTGCCCTGGCCCCAACAGGAGACCCTTGCCCCGGGCAGCTCTGCACTCCTTCAAGGCTGCTCGGGCCCTGCTGGGCCGCGGGAAGGCAGAGTCTGGCCCAGCCAGCCTGGCCATCTGTGAGAAGGCCAGTGGGTACCTGCAGGACAGCCTGGCGACCACACCAGCTGGGAGCTCCATTGACAAGGTGAGGGGTGGTGCCAGGGGCCTGGTAGGTCTGGGGTGGGGGTCCCTGCCTTGCCATCCCCTGGATGTTCGCCCTTGGGCTGCAGAAGATGCTGGGGTCAGCCTGACAGTAGGGGTTGGGGCCCTGGCCAGCCTTGTCTCTCTGGCTAAGGCTTGGGTCCCGGTGGAAGAGCGGCTGCCACCCTCGGGTCCCAGTCTCCCCCCACAGGAGGACGGGTGGTGTGAGGGGTCTGGCAGAGGCCTCTTCCGAGGCCGCTTCCCAGCAGGCGGCAGGCGTGGGGGCCTGGAGAGGCGGGCGGCCCCGCGGTGCATTGCTGTTGCATTGCACGTGAGTGACGCGGGTGCAGTGCCTCGGCAGTGCAGCCCGGAGCCGGCCCCTGGCACCGCGGGCCCCCACCCGTCCCCTCCCACAGCCGGAGCCCACCCCCGTGACCCCTGCCCTGCCCCCCACCCCAGGCCATGCAGCTGCTCCTGTGTGACTTGCTCCTGGTGGCACGAACTAGTCTGTGGCGGCGGCAGCAGCCGCCCGCACCCACCCAGGCCTCGCAGGGCCCGGGCACCGGGGCCCAGGCTTCTGCCCTCGAACTGCGTGGCTTCCAGCGGGACCTGAGCGGCCTGAGGCGTCTGGCACAGAGCTTCCGGCCCGCCATGCGGAGGGTGAGTGCCCATGGGGCCCCTCGGCTCCCAGTGGGGATGTGAGGCAGCAGGGGAGGGAGGGGAGGCCCGGCGCAAACCCCAACTCTCCTGGCCCCCTCCTGCCCAGGTGTTCCTGCACGAGGCCACGGCCCGGCTAATGGCAGGGGCCAGCCCCACGCGGACGCACCAGCTCCTGGACCGCAGCCTGCGGAGGAGGACAGGCCCCTGCGGCAAAGGTGCGCGGGGCCAGGGTGGCGCTGCTCCGGGGCTGGGGGCGGGGAAAGCCCGAACAAACGGTGATGGATGCCCAGCGCTACTGTGTCTGCGGCAGAGACCCAGGGACTTGGTGGTGGTTGCCTGATGGCGATATCCTACCCGAGAAAGTCCACGGGGTCCACCGTCACCCGTGGGATGGGCGACTATGCGCGAGTCCGGTGGATGCGACAGGTCCTGCCTGTGCGCCGGTGGGCGGAGCCAGCCTCCCTAGCCCCGCCCCTGACATCCTGCGGTGTGCGCAGGCGCAGTGGCCGAGCTGGAGCCACGGCCCACGCGGCGGGAGCACGCCGAGGCCCTGCTGCTGGCCTCCTGCTACTTGCCTCCCGGCTTCCTGTCGGCGCCCGGGCAGCGCGTGGGCATGCTGGCCGAGGCGGCGCGCACGCTCGAGAAGCTCGGCGATCGCCGCCTGCTGCACGACTGCCAGCAAATGCTCATGCGCCTGGGCGGCGGGACCACGGTCACCTCCAGCTAGATCCCCGTCCGCGGCCCCGCCGGGCCGGAGCCTCGACGGCCAGAGGCAGCGCTGGAGACCCCGAGTGTCCACGGTGCAGCTACGTACCGCACTGTCTGCGGGGGCAGGGGGGTTGGGAGGCATATAGGGGCTTTTGCTGCCTCTTGACCTGGTTCGCCGGAGGGGGCGCGACCCCACCCCCCCACTGCACCCCAACCCGACGAGCGGCGGCCAGCGTGGTGCTGACCTCTGGTGGCCGATCGGGGGATTGCAGGGGCTCCTTGCCCTGCAGGCACCAAGTGGCTTTTCCCTCTCCCGCGTCAGGGAGGGGTACATTTCACTGAGCTGAGGGGGGCCTACTCCAAGGCGCCTCTCTCCCTTCTGGAGAGACTTGTACATAGTGTAGATCAGGGTGCACCAGCCTCCTGACCTCTGAGGCTCAAGTGTTACGTTGCCTTTTGCAAACTTTATTTTCATAGGTTGAGAAGTTTTGTACAGAGAATAAAAAATGAAATTATTTATAATCTGGGTTTTGTTTCTTGGGGGAGGAGGGTGTGTGTTTTAGCTGATAGACTAGGGGACCAGAGGGTCCTTTGGGCCTCCCCCTCCTGGCTTCCCCAGCACCAAGACAGAGGTTTCCACTGCCATCAGTCCTAACGGCCAGAAACTTCCCCTTCCATGTGGGAGTCCTGTCCGTTTAGGACCTCCAGGTGACCGGGATTCCACCCATTTCTGGGCCACAGGGTTGGGCTGTATCAACCCTTAATCCTTAAGGGCTATTGTGGGCTCAGCTGCCCCTTCCCACCTCCCTGCTTGTACTCCCATCAGTGCCCAGGCTGGCAGGCAGGGATGACATGGTGGCCTTAGGGATCTATTGTGATAGGAGCTACAGTCTGGTATCCCCATGTCTGGGTCATTCGCCTCACCTCCTCCACTCCACCTGTCCTGGGTTCTTGGGGAAGTCTTCCCCGCCCCCATCACAACCTAAGACCCTGAGGCCACACACAGGGAGTGTGGTGGATCGGTGTCCACATAGCAGGGGCTTGTCTCCTGTACCTGCAGTGACAACCAGAATCCATGACTGCCCACGTGTGCCCTGATGAACCTTCCTCTCCAGCCCCCCAGTCCCCACCCCCCCACCTAAGGCCCGGCCCCTTTTCCCAGCGGAATCTGGTTAGAATCCACGGGCTGCAAACTTCCAAAACAATCGTTGTATCTTTATTGACTTTTTTTTTTTTTCTGAATGCAATGACTGTTTTTTACTCTTAAGGAAAATAAACATCTTTTAGAAACAGCTCGATACACACAATCTTCAGTGTGAAGCAATATACTAATAAGAACACTAGTCGTCTTAACATTTACAGTCTTCATATATATTATATATATGTATATGTATACATATATATACACTATATAACGAGGCCAGATATAATACACACGTTTACCATTTTACAGTCATATGTACAGGAAGTTGCTAGGGCGGCCCCGGTCTGGGGGCTGCGTCAGGCCTATCGAAGCGTGGACAGAGCTGAGGACACGGACGGACAGGCGGACGGACTGGCGGGGACTGGCTTGGGCCCGCGGTGGCTGCATGGGGAAGGCGGGCATCGCCGCGGCCCCCTTCCCGGCAAGGGCCCCGTGCTGAGGGACGCACGACGCGTGGCGGCGGCGACACACGGGAGAAGCGAGCATGTTCCCAACATATATACATTCTATGTAACATATATATAGAGGGGTACACAGGTTTGTACACGAATCTAGCGCTGTCTCTGCTCCCGTGCCGAGTGGGCGCTGCGGTCCCCGGAGACGGGTGGTCCTGCAGAGGGATGGTCACGCGTCCACCGGAGGCGCGCTCTGCTCGCCACTCCTTTCCTTCGTGTTGGGGGGGGCGCTCCAGGGGTGGGGCGGAGGACTGGAAAGGGGACGACACAAGCCAAGGGGGTGCCCCAGCCCCGCCCACCCCCGGGGAGCCCGCACCCCCTGAGCATGGGTCTGGGACTTCCCCGGCTCTGCCCAACCCACGCCAAGTGGTGGCCGAGGCTGGGCGGGTGGGAAAGGGCGCTGGCACGCGATTGGAAAGGTTCCTTCCCAAGCCCCCGGCCTCCTACCCTACGCGGCCGGCCTAGTCCTCTCCAGAAAGGCTGGGGCTCCTTCCCCACCCCCACCCCTCGCCTCGGAGCCTGGAGCCGCCCTCCGCCACTTCTGGGGCCCTTCGGACCCCCACCCCCACCCCCAGGGCGCCCAGCTGCAGGCCACGCCGGCTGCGGCGGCGGCAGCACCCACGTGGAATGTGTGCCACGTCGTCTTGGAACCGCCAGGGGAGAAGCGTGTCCCCAGGTTAAAGGCGTCTCCAATCCCCGCCGGAGCCTGGGTGCCCCAAGGAGTCTGGCCGCTCCGCGGGCTCCCCCTCTCCAAGCCTGGCCCGGGGTGTGGGCGGGAACGCCCTGTGTCGTCCTGTTCCGGGAGCAGGCGGCTCCGGAACGTGTTTTCTTCCCAACCCGGGACCGCAAGTTTCAGCTCTAGGCGGCCAGATCCAAGATCCGGAATCCGGATCAAGGATCGGCTCTGGACCCGCGCTGGGAGCAGCTCAAAGGCCCAGGGGCTGCGCAGGCGGCTCCTCTCCTCGGCGGCGGCGGGCGGGCGGCAGGCGGGCTTCGGCGGCTTCTCTGGCCGTTGGGGTCGATTACAACGGCAGCCTCTGCGGGAGAAGAGACGCCCGAGCGCGGGTTATCCCGGGCGGCGGACACGTGCTCGGGGCTAATTCCTCCCAGCCCCGCCCCCGGCGTAGCTCCGCCCCCGCACGAGGCCCGGCCCCGGGCGGGAGCCTCCCTGGGAGGCCGCAGGCCTCTGGTCAGGCCCAACGTTTCTCTACCCCACCCTGCCTCCGTCGCCTCCGTGCCCATCGTCCCGTGCCCCTGCCTGCCCCTCCTGTCCCTCACCCGGGGTGGCTCCCTCCTTCAGGACCTGTTTCGTTATAAGGCGGTCTTTATGATCAGCGTGTGCCAACCTGCCCCAAAGGCTGCAGATAAACCGCGAATAATAAGGTTTTGGGGGTGGACAGGTGGGGGCTGGGTCCTGCTGCGGGTCCCCAGGGCAGGGTGGGGAGAGGGGAGGGGCTCCCCTCCAGCCAGGACCCCCTCCAGGGAAGGCTTGAGGTCACCTACCTTATGTTTGGGACACTTCAAAGAAAAGTTCTCTTCCATGAATATGCAACCTGCCACCAAAAAGAAGTTTGGGTGGTTAGGGCGGCTGCTGGTGTCTGGTCAGGGGGCCAGGCGGGGAGGGGACCCAGTGCCTGTGAGACTCTGGGCTATAGAGCTTCTTTGCAAAAAGTAAAGCAGACTCTGCTTGAACTTTTCCAAGGTCTAAACTCCCGTCACGGCTGAAGGTGGCCTCCACCTGCCTCCTGCCCCACCGGCCGGTGGGTGCTTGCTCTCCTCTCACTGGAAGGTCACTCGGGAGGACAGCCCTGACTCCCTGGCTACAGCAGACCCCCCCACACCTATCTCTCTCCCGCCCCTGCCCCACCATCCTCGCTTGGCTGCACTTGTCACTTCCTCCTAGAAGTCTCTATTCTGGTTACTTGCTCATGGTCTCTGGCCCACGGGAAGGCAAGCTTCGTGCCTTTGTGCCAGCTCTGCCTTTTGCCCCGGATGCATGCCCAGCGCCTAGAAGGCCTTGATACCCAGTGGGTTGATGGACGGGGCAGAGCAGTCACCGGTCTGGATTCAAGTGTTAGCTACTTCTTTGAGCTTGCTCTCCACATCTGTAAAATGAGCCCGATGCCACCTGTGTCTCTAGCATGGGGACTGAGGAGGGCAACGTATATAAGCCACCTGCACGTGTGTGACTCAGCGTGTGCACTCAGGTCGTGGGTTTGTCCCTGGCAGGGAGGGGGCGAGAAGGGGAGGCAGACCTGAGTCTGGGGGCAGGGGGAAGACTGGGGACTTGGGTCTGAGTGAATCCCAGCTGGCCCTGGTCAGCCCAGGGGAACAGAGGATGGCTGAACATGGCCAGTTCCTGCCGCCCACTTTGGCCCAGGGGTGCGCTGTTATCCCAGCCAGTCCCCACTCCACTGCTTGCTGCCACCTCGGGAGGCCCTGACTTCTGCCCCAGGAGGCCCGTCTGCCAGTCGCCTTCTGGGCTCACCCCCCTCCCTCCCATGCCCTACTGGCTGGCCATTGTTCTGAACAAACCCCAAACCCATAAATAGCCAGAGGCCTGAGCTGGCCAAGCAGGTCCTCCCCTTCCAGCACATTCCTCCTGCTCAGGCTGTGGCTCTGTGCCGGGCATCAGGACAGCCTGGTGGCTGGTGAGCAGGGTGGGGAGGCAAGGGCAGATTCACGGACCGAGGGCAGGGCTGGGAAGGCTCCAGGCCTGCGGCTGTCCCCCCTTTTTTCCAACCAACCCCTGCCAGAAGCTGGGGAGCCTCAGACTGGAAACTGCCTGTGAGTTTCTGCACTTTAGGGCGAGTGGCTGGAGATAGATCATGAGTTTTTCCTCTTCCCTGTGCTCGGGCAAGCCCAAAGCGGTTGTGAACTCACAGCCTCCGCAGAGCACTGAGCTATAAAACCCGGCCTGCTGCACACGTGGTGTCCCCGCCCCCCACCCCACTGCAGGCCCTACCTCAAGGGCTGGGGTATCCGCAAGGGGAGGGCAGGAGGTCACCGCTTCCAAAGCCGGCCTGCTGGGCAACCCCCAACACCCACCCTGGACATGCTGAGGGGAGCCGGAGGGAAGGGCCAGGTCATCCATTCCTGGTGCCTGTCCTGGTGTCTGCACCTGGGGAGCCTGGGGCCCCACTGCCCAAGTGGCCCCAGGCCCCGAGTGTGGAAAGGCTGAGACAGGCCCCGTGGCATGCGGGCTTCTGCCCACGGTTCTGAGTCACTGAGCCCCAGAGAGGTGCTCCGCAATGGGATTGAATGGACTGGGTTTGCGGGGTGGGGGCTGGGCAGGAGAGGGTAGAGGGGGTGCCTGAGGTGCCCTGAGGTCTGAAAGCCTGACACCTGGAGAGCCCCACGGACCTCTGTTTGGCAGATCCCGGGCTTGGGTAGGTGCACGGGGCTGATGAAGGCCTGGGGCTCCCGCCTGCCAGACACTGGATGGCTTGCCCAGCCCAGGCCCTCAGATCCTCTGCTCTCCCGCCCCTCCTGCTTGGCCATGGGCGCCCTCCCAAGGGCGCCCTCCTTGCCACCCTGGAGCGCCCGGTCACCTTGCCTTCCGGCTGCCTGGCTCACTTTCTCCCAGCTTGTCTGGCTGGTGCCCCCACCCTGAATCGCCGGCCTCTGCAAAGCGGCTTGGGAGCTCCTCCGGGGCAGAGTGGAGTCTCCAGGGCGCTGAGTTGTGTGGTGTGCAGCCTAGCCCACGGGGCATGAGTGCCCACAGGGAGCTGGAGGGGCTGGCCAGTGGGGCCGGAGCCCAGGAGCTCCTATAGCCTCAGCACAGCCCGGTCCTGCCTCATAGCCGCCCCCCAGCATGCAGAGGTCGGGCATCTGGCCCCATACCTCCCTCTGTCTCCCCCAGCCTCAGGCCAGAGCATTCAGTGCCCCTGAAGTCTCCACAGCAGCGAGCCTCTTCCCCACCGGGGTGGCTGCTGTATGCCATCAGCTGTGATCGAGTCAGTGTCTCACGTGGCCAGCTTCCAGGCCCCCTTCCTGAACCAACCCCTGGGGCTCTATGGACATCCCTATTATATGGGGGGATCCTTCGAAGATGTCATTTCAAACAGCCTGGTATGTACGTTCCACCACTAACCAGCTGCTGTGCACCTCCTCTGACCTGGCCGGGCCTGGCACCAATGTCACCTCCTCCTCCAAGAAGCCCTCCTAGATTCCCTCCCAGCTCAGACAGGATGTGTCTCTCCCATGGCACATGCACACTCCACCCTGTCTGGTCTCCAGAACTGTGGGCAAGGATCATGAGTTTCCTGTCCTTCCCAATCATACGTGAGACCCCAAGGGGCTGGACAGTACTGGGCTGAGAGAGAGGGCACGGCCTGGTCTGTCCGTGCTGCTCGGTGCGGCCACGGGTAATGCGGCCTGTCTGTAAAGAGGCAACAGGGATCGTGCAGGGGCCTGGCACGGACTGGGGGCTACATTAATCATGGCAGAGGGAGGGATGCGACTCGTGGGAGCTGTCACTGGGGTAAGGGCACGTGTCTGGGGAGGTGGCCGAGTCCACGTTAAGATCTGGTCCATCTGGTCCATGCTGCTCAGAGCGGCAGGGCAGCCAATGAGGAGCCTCACATCCTGCTCTAGCCAGCCCCTCACCGCTCGGAGCTAGCAGGTCACCCCGGCCAAAGAACTGTCACCGCTTGGTCCTGATGTGCTCCTGCGGATGGCTTAGTTGGGGCCACTGCTGGCCCCGGACCAAGCGGGCAGGTGGGGTGGCACAGGGAGGGGTTCCTTTGGCCTGGGGCACAGCCAGCAGGCACTCAGTTGCGGAGGAGGGGTCCCCAGGCCGTGGGAGAGCCTGCTGGAAGCGGTCTCCGCTCTGCCATACATGAGGCGGGGGCAGGGGGGCAGGGGGAAGCGGCCAGAGTTGGGGTGGGGGCTGGCCCCAACAAGACTGGGTCTGCACAGCCTGGGCGGTGTTGGCTGTACTGCTCCCTGCTCCCAAGAGCCCCAGCAAGAAGAGATGAACGAGCTGGGGAGCCGAGTGCACAGGCATCATGAACCCGCCCAAATCCTCGGTAAGGACAGCCCGGGCCTTGAATCCGGGCCAGAGCGGCCTCGCACGCCACCCAAGACAGGCCCTCGTCAGGACCACGATTCAGCAGATGTAGTCTGTTTTTTGAATGAAGTAAGGACTGTGTGTGAGCTTGGGTTTTCCTGTGTGGCCGATGAGGCTTGGGACTCCCGGATCTCTCCGGCCCGTGCGATCCGCCATTCCGTGCGCCTGGTGATAGCAGGTGCTCGGTGAAGGCTGTGCTACAGGTGAGAGTGAGTGGGAGGAGAGGACGAGGGGGAGAGAGGGTGTGGGGAGGCCTGGTTCGGCCTCCAGACCCCATGGCCGGTCAACCCCTGCAACTAATATTGCCTGTAGCCAACCGGACTGAACCTCCCCTCCTCCTACCTCATTTGGTTTTTGTTGAAGTCTATTTTTACCCAGTGAACTATTCAGTCTTCAAAGGCCCGGCCCCAGTACCCCTTCCTCTCTGAGGCCTGAGAGCCTCCCCAGCCCCTGGCACTCCTAAGCACTCCTAAGCTCCTGGCTCTTGGGCTACCCTCCAGCCTGCACTGGGTGCCTTTGGGTGTTCCTAGAGCGGGTGGCTTGAGACTGATGAATCTCCTGCAGTATAGGTCGCAGTCGAGAGAGGTCCCTAAGAATTGGGGCAGGAGAGGAGGGAAGCCGAGGGGGTCAGATGGGGAGATTTCAGGGGGCAGTGCCCAGGGTCCCCTCTAGGGCCTTCCTGGCCCTGGGGCCCGGCTCTTACCCGCATCGCTGGCACACGGGTAATGGTAGGTGTGGGTGCATCCTTTGTGGCAGCACCCGATGGTGGCCCCGGCTTCTTGGCAGCTGGAACAGGTCTGGGGAGGAGAGAGGGAAGATGGGGTGAGTCTGTGGCTGAGGAGACTGGCAGGCCCCTCATGGACCCCCACCTCCTTTCCCTGAGAGGGTCCCTGGGGATCCCTACCGGGCACAAGTGCCCCGGGGGCTGACTCTGTGGCAGCCCCAGGCTAGCACCTTGGATGAGGGGACCCTGTTGGTGCGGGGAATGTCAAACCTCGCCAATAAATGTCTAACCTCATGGGTTCAAATCCCAGCTCTGCCATTCTGCGTCGCGTGACCTCAGCTGGTCAAACTCTCCATCCCACCTGTGCAGGGGGGCCCGCCTCCCCCGGCAGGACAGTCGCGAAGAGCAAGGGGGAGACGCCACGTGCCCAGCAGATGAGGCGAAGCTGGCTGTGGCTACAGCGGGTGCTGAGGGGGGTTCTGTGTGCAGGGCACCGGGGTGTCCCTCCCACAGGCTCCGCCCCATAGCCCTCGAGGCGGTAGGAGTCAGGAACCGCACTCTAGACGGTGAAACTGAGGCTTCCATTCCAGGCGAGCATGAACGCAATCGTCATCATCTTCTACCCTTTCTGGCACCACACAAGCACTGAGCCCAGAATGGAGCTGTCCCACCTGCCGAGAGGCCACCCACTCCCCAGGTCCATGAAGGAGAGGACACAGTCTCCCAACAGGCCGAGCTGACGTGCCCCAGGCCTAGCCCAGCTGTCTGAAGAGGGACGCAGCCGGGACAGCTGGGCAGGGCCAAGGTGGGCCCCTGAAGAGCAAGACAAAATCTGTGGCCTGGAGAGGGACAGGCAGGGCCCCAAATCACACAGACTCCAGAACTGCAGCCTCGCTGTACGGGCCGGGGAGTAGATACAGCGGGGAGCAGGGCAGTGGCAGGCCCAGGCCCCGGAGCTAAGCCACTGGGACGGGTAGTTCAGGATGTGCCCCACGTGCCTGGAAGCAGCCTCCTCATAACCAGATGATGTTGATACTATCATAATTCCACCCAGGTTACCAATGAGAGCTCAGAGAGGCTGAGCAACCTGCCTGAGGGCACACAGCTCACGTAAGTGGCTGAGCTGGACTTTGAGCTGGCAACCACCACCTCGTACTGCTCCAGGGGGGGGGTGGGCTCCATCGCTGGGGGAGTGGGGAGGTGCAGGGAGGTGGGGGGGTTGGTATATTCTGGAACATCAGATTTTCATACAATGCCTTTAGATGGGCCGCTTCCTTCTGGTCAAGGCTGAGACCTCCTGGGGCAACTATTCACTCAATTTCTGGCCCACAAAGGGGCAATAAAGCGGGAGTGGGGGCCCAGACCAGGGCCAAGCCCTCAGGTGGTTTGTTGGGGAACAGCCAGAGGAGCAGCTTTATGCCACCCCACTTGCACTGAGGCCCCCCCACAACCCATGAGCGGCATTCCAGACACGAAGAAATCGAGGTACAGAGACAGAGGTCTTGCACCCTTCCGACCCCAGCACCCGGGCTCTGAGCCCCTGCTCCCCTCAGGGCTTGTGGACCTGCCGTAGATCCCAGGCTGGTGGAGGGGTGTTGCTACCCACTTCCTAATAAATATGCCTGCATCGCTGGCATCCATGGGCAGGCCTCACCCGGAGAGGAGATGGGGTGCACAGTAGTTCTGGGTGAGGGGCAGCAGGTTTGTGGGGGTTCTCAGGAGTGGATAGAGAAGAAAGAGGGCTGTCTCCGCAGAGAGCAAAAGTGAGGCCAAGGTACTAACAAGCATGCCAGGACTGGGCCCCTCCTGTGCACTGGGGAGGTGGCCCTGCGGCCTTTCTGATGGGGTGTGGCCATCCAAGGCCCCCAGAGTGCAGTGACTTGCTGGAGTCACAGAACACACCCTCAGCAGAGCTGAGATTTGAACCCGGGTCTGTGTGTCTCCAAGGGAGCGTGCAGCCACTGAGCTGTCAAGGCAAGGAACAGCCGTAAGGAGGCCGAGGCTGCAGGAGGGGAGGGCACAGAGTCCTGACCCTCAGGATTCCCAGAGCCAGCCCACCTCTCCAGGATGTTCTGGGGCCATGGTCTGCTCCTCTGGGTGGGGAGACGCTGCTTTAATGTGCCCCTCTGAGGCTCACACCCTGGCCCCAGCCCTAGCCCAGGACCATCTCTGGAGGGCAGCCTGTTAGATTCCATTTGAGCTGCCTCAGGCGAGGTAGGAAGATGCAGGGGGTGAGCGGGGAGGCCTGCTGGGGTGTGTCTTCCCTCTACCCCAACCCCACGGACCTTCCCGGGGGATGCCCCCAGGGGCGGGAGGCCACTAGGCCACTTCTGACATAGGATGCAGCAGACCGAGATGGGCCACCTGGGCGGAGTTCCAGCTCCAGCACGCAAGGGCTGTGTGACACCTGGAAAGCACGGTGCCACTCTGACCTTCGGCTCTCTCATCAGTCCAGCAGAATGTGAGTGCAGGTCCCTGAGGTGAGACCAGAGCACCCAGAACAGGCTGGGGCAGGTGAGCAGCTTATTAGCCCATCACGATGGGTACAGGTGACTTGGAAAAGACTGGATCGAGCCCCGGCTCAGAGAAGCATATAGAAGCAACCCAGCCTGGCCCAGAGCCCTGGAGGCAGGGAAGGCCCTGGATGTGGGGCCTGGTGGGGCGCCTGTCGGAGGAGGGAACTGGTGATCTGAGGCTATCACTTTTTAATGATGGAGGAGACTTGAGCCTATTTCAGGATGGCTGGGAAGGAGCCAAGAGCCAGTGACAGAGAGGGAGAGAGAGAGAGAGAGAGAGAAACGGGGGTGGGGGGAGGAGAAGCATGAAAGTAGTAGGTGTCCTGTTGGAAGTAGGGTTTCCTCTGTCAGGCTAGGGGCCACTGGGCAGGACATCTGGGCAGGGAGAAGTCAGTGGAAGGTCGGTGCAGGAAACCAGGGGAGACCGAGGCCCTCAGGTACAGGAGCTGGTCCCAAGGGGAGGGGGGATGCAGGAGGTGGGATGGGCGGAGCGGGTGGGGGCAGGGACGAGATGGCAGAGGAGGCGCTGCAGAGCCAGGGAACATCACATCACAGGAGTGGCCATCAGTGTGTGTGTGTGTGGGGGGCAAGAGCACAGGCCCAGGGAGAGGATGCTGAGCCCCCATCCGGTCCCAGCTGCCTGCACCCTCCGGCCATCTGCACCCCTAAGGGAGAGTAAAGAGCAAGGTGGTGCCCCGGCACCTGGAATGGCTAGCGTGCCGCAGCTTGGCCGCTGTTACGGGTTCTAGCAGGGGACCGTTGCTAAGCGCTCAGGCAGGCCAGCTTCCCAGGGGCAGGACCTCACTGAGCCCCGACAGCCCCTGTGCACCAGGAGGCACCGTGCCCACCAGAGATGAGGATGTGCAGGTTCAGAGCGGTGAGCCCGCGCCCAGAGGCGCACGGTGGGTGATGGGCAGTGCGGGAATCTGAGCCAGAGGCTGCCTGAGGTCTTGCTCATGGACCTCCATGACTGGAGGGCCTTCCTGAGCATTCTGTGACGGTTGGTTAGAGGTCCCCAGACCACCCTGCCCAAGGGGCCGCAATCTGACCACGTGCTGGGAGGTTTTCTCTCTAAGCCCAAGCTCCACCTCAGTGGCCAAGCAGACAGGTGAGCACTGGAAATGGGGTGCCCTACCTTTTTAGGCCCTCCTGATGTTCGATTTTGGGAGGCCGCCCGTTCTTTGGGGCCTTGGCATGTCAGCTGGTGGCACAGGGCAGAGTCAGGTGGGCAGTGGGTGGGGGGCACTGGAGCAGGAAGGTGCAGGGTGTGTGTGTGCTGGGTGCCAGGCCGGGCAGGCCAAGGGGCTGAAGAGGGAAGTCGGGCCCAGGGGTGGGCAGGCGTGTCCTGCCTCAGCCTCAACTCCACCCCAAAACTCCCCAGACGGGTATTTGTGATCGTAGGTGTGTCTGGCCCAGACCATGGCTCTGGAAAGATGAGGGAGCTTCCCAATGGTCCACCTGCCTGCCTGCCTGCCCGTCACGTAGACCCCGAGCTCCCCACCCCAGCTGGGCTGGACTCTTACCATGTCCACGGCCACCTTCATGGCCTCCTGCAGCCCAAAGAGCTTCCCAGCTACCAGGTAGACCCCGCCCGTCCACACGGCGCAGGCCTCGTGCACCCAGTGCTCCTGGGTGTCCCCGCTGGGCTCAGCCAGTGGCTCCTTGCTGCATTCGTGCTTGCGGCTCTTGTCGGCCGGGGCTGCCTCCTCGCCACCGTCCCCCCGAGCGTCACAGCAGTAGCAGCTCTGTAGCCGCCGCGACAGGCCCCGGGCACTGGTGCGCAGTGAGCCCTGCTTGGCGGGGTCGGCCGGGCCCTCGGGCCTCGGGGGTTTGCCAGCGGCGGTGGCGCCGGTGGCGGCCACACACTCGAGGTCTTTGAGTGTTCTCTCGAGGGGCGGCGAGGCCTCCTCGCAGGTGCCCTCCGGCCGCACCTTCTCCTTGAGTTTTGGCTTCTTTTTGGGGAGGCAGTGTTCGGGGTAGTAGGGCCCACAGAGGTCCCCGAGGTCCTTGAAGTTGGCCGGGTTTTGGCAGAGGCAGCAAACAAGGCAAGAGGTACTCAAGGCCTTGGAGACCACGGGCCCCAGATGCATGGTGGAAGAGAGGGGCAGGGAGGGCCGTGGCTGCAGGACAGAGGCTCCAGGGAGCGTGGCCAAGGAGGCCCCGGTCGCATCCAAGGAGAACGAGCATGAGGATGAGGAAGAGGAGGCAGAGGAGGAAGGCTTCCTGTGGGGCTTGGGCTCCTCCCCTGGGGAATTGACAACAGTGCATATGGTGGTGAACGCGTCTCGCTTCTCCACCCGCACAAAGGGTGAGAAGGCTGGGGTGCGGCTGTCCGCTCGAAGCCGCTTGCAGGAGGAAATGTACTTGAGGCGGATTTCAGGCTCTGCAGGATCCAGGGGCAGCACCTGCTGCTGCCGCCGCCGCTTGGCACGGCCCTTACAGGGTGAGGAGGTGGTGTTCTTGGCCCGGCCCCGGGTGAGTCGCTTTCGCTTGGAATAGCTGCTGTAGTTGGCATGGCCTGGCTGCTTCTGTGCCCTTGTCTGGGGCTGACAGGGCCGGCCCTCAGGGGACTGGGAGGTCAGGCCCAGCTCCTCCGTCTTTGGCTTCTTGCCTCCTCCACCAGAGCTGTCCTCCCCACCCCCCTGAGCGCCGTTGGCCCTGTCTCGGGGGGTCAGGAGCAGAGCCGGGCCTAGATGGGGCCGCTTCTCCAGGGGACCTTTGGGGAGTCCAAGGGCTCCAGCCCTGCCTTTCCGGCTTCTCTTCTTAGGCGCCAGGGCAGTCCCCCCAGGCAACAGGGCCTCCGGGGACGTGAAGGCCTCAGTTTTGAAACAGTCAGTCGAGGACAGTTTCTTACTGTTTAGGAGTTTGCCTTTTAAGGATCTGTTGGTCGGATTTCTGCATAACAGGTCGGCCCCAGGGGCTGCTGGGAGCTTCTGCCCAGCGCCCACATTTAAGAGACCTTCTCCTGCCCCAACTGGGCTGCCCCCGGCACTCTTGAGCCCACGGTCCTTCTCAGGGAGAGCTGGGCTCACAGGGTTACCCGGAGGGGCCCCCGGCGCTTTGCACGCAAACTTCTTCAGGCTGGGCGAGGTGATCTTCTGCACGATGGCCTCCAGCTTCAGGCCGCGGCCCTTCCGGGGCGGAAGCACCTTGGTCTTCATCGCCCCCTGGAAGGCCGCCCTTGAGGCCAGCTTCAGGCAGGCGTCGGGGGCCTCTGGGGGTGGGGGCTTCACAGCGGGCTCACTGTTGCCCTTGGGGGGCTTAGCCTTCTTGGGAGAAGACATCCTCTTGAAGAGGCTGGAGGGGTCCTCGGCCCCCTCCTCCTTCACGTCCCCCCCACTGCCGCTCCGTAAGACCAGGTTCCGCTTCTTGGTGGGGACAGGCGCCAGGAAGGACGACTTCCTTTTGAGCGCATGGAGGGGCCGATCGGAGAGCTTGCTGCCCGCCCCTGGCTTGGGGACCCTTGCCCGCTGGCCGGCCCTGCCCTCCTTCTGGGGGCTGCCCGAGACCTTGAACGTGGCCGGCAGGTGGTTGTTGGCCAGGAGCTTCTTGGTGGCTCGGCAGTTGGGGAGCCGGCTCTCTGAGGGCCGCCGCCTCTTGGAGTGGAACACCTCCTGGGTTTTGGTGCGGGACCGCAGGATCATAGAGCGCTGGTCCTTGCCCGGGGTGCCGGGAGAGTCTGTCTCCTTGGTCTTGGAGCCCATGGGGCTGCTATCCGAGGCCACCGGCAGGGCGGCCGGGTTACTGGGGCTGGACGCCGCCTTGGGTGATGGCTTGCCCACCCGCTTGCCAGACTTGAAGGCGGCTCGCTGCTTGCCTCCCAGTTTGTCCGGGGGGGCAGGTGTGGTGGTCAGGCCTGGGGGCCCGGGTGTGCGGGGCTCGCTCAGGGCGGTGAAAGAGCGCGTGCACATCCTGGGGAGCCCTTCCGAGGCCCCCCGTCCTGGGGCTCCTGCTCCCTCCATCTGCCCCTGTGGGGGCCCTGTGCAGGATTCAGGGAGCAAGAGGTCTTTGGGCAGCACTGGAGCCCTGCATGGGGAGTCCTCGGCCTCGGGCAGACCCCGATGTACCCGCCGGCTCCGTAAGCTTTTGCCGCGTGGCACGGGCTCTTTCTTAGCAATGGGGGCCTCGGGCACAGCAGGCTTGTTCGGCTTCTGGGCCAGGGAGGCATCCGGGGCCAGGGTGGCTGAGTCCCCCGGAGCTAGCACACTGTCAGGGCCTTCTTCGCCCGGCTTCATGTGGGACAGGGAGGACTCAAACCAGCTCTGGACCTTTGACTCGGCGCCCACAGTCGGGCCCAGCAAGATGACAGAGTCCCCAGAGAGGTGGCACGGGGGGCCCCAGCCAGTCTTGCTGTCCAGCACCTCCTCTGCTTCCTCCTTGGTGCACATCAGTGGGGCCTTGGGCGACAGCGGGTCCTGCAGGCCAGGCCTCTGCTCAGGGCTGCCCAGGAGCTCACACAGGGAGGAGTACTCCTCCTCCGCCTCCAGGTCCTCTTTCCGACCGGTGGGAGGCAGTAGGGGCAGGTCCCCAAAATCGGTGGCAGAGCAGCAGTGGCGGCTGTCGTCCAGCCACCGGTCGGCCTTGGCCACCTCGGGGCACTGCAGCAGCCCACCCACCTCCTCCTTCACCCCGCCCGCCTCCTCCTGCTCCGAGTCCCGAGGCACAGTGGCCTTCTCCCCCGGGGGCTCCTCCTCCTGGAAGCCTGGGCAGGCCGAAGCCTCGTGGGCACTCTCCTTGCCCACGCCATCCGCGGCCTTCCCACCCTGCTCCAGGCCCTTGGTGAGCTCACTGGGGTGCAGGCCCCACCGGGGACACGCATCCCCCAGGTTCTCCTCGGGCCAGGCAAAGGGGTTGGCGCTGTCCGCCGAGCTGGCGGTGGTCGTGTCCGGGAAGCAGTCAAAAGCGGCTGCGGCGGGGTCTGCCGTGGCTGCCCCGAGGGTAGACTTGGTGCCGAAAGAGAGGGCCCCGGTTGTCTTCTTGGGGTCAGGGGCGGCAAAGCCCACAGAAGGGTCTTCAAACAGCCCTGGGCTGAAGTCCTTGGCGCTGCCACCCTTGTCCAGCTGCAAGGACTCAGGCAGGGCCTCTGGCTCCCCTGGCCGTGACCACGCATTCTTGGCCACTGAGTCCAGGCAGGCGCTGTGGTTCTCCAGCGAGAAGGGAGGCTTGCTGGCGTCCTTGGCCAGGCTGGGCGCCTCGGCCCAGGCCTTATCAGCCTTCTCGCCAATGGCCTCCTGCAGCCCGAGGATCTCAGAGGCCAGGTCCTCCTGGGCCAGGGCGCTGAGCAGCAGCCGCGGGCAGTCCCGCTCACCTGCCACAAACTTGGAAAAGCTGTCGAGCGGCAGGGTGCTGTGCAGGCTCTGGAAGGAGTCATCGGATTTGGTGGACATGTCGTCAGGGGAGGTCACGGAGCAGGTGGACACTGACTCGGGCTTGGCCTTGGAGTTGCTGTTGACCCTGGCGGGGCTGCTGCGGGCCTGGTTGCAGTAGAGGAAGCTGCGCTCCAGCGGGTCCTCGGAGCCGCTCAGGTAGTCGGCCTCGGGCGGCTCGGCATGCGTGGACTGCGGCGTGCTGCTCAGCGGTTCAGACAGCGGCGTGCCGGCCGGCTCGGCTGAGTAGCCGCTGCCCTCAGGGCTGCAGTGCTGGCTTTTGTGCTGTTCTGGTGTCCTGGACACCAGGTTCTTGACGCTCTTTTTCTGTGGCGCCGCGGTCTTGGAGAGCAGCAGCTGCTGGACGGTGTTGGATATGTTCTCTACCTGGGATGTCAGAGCTGTGAGGCTCTGCAGGCTGAGGTCCGAGAGCAGGTTCTCAGGGAGCTTGTCCTTCTGCAGCGGCTTGCAGTTGCCAGCCTGGGTGTCCACCGAGCTAGCAGCGTCGGTCGGGGACGGGTTGAGCAGGGGCATGAAGTGGCTGTGGTCCGTGATGCCCGCGGGGAAGGCCCCAGTGCTGAGTGGCTGCTGGTTGTAGGGAAAGTTCTCCAGGTTGGGCATCAGCGGTGACGGGGTGGAGCTGTAGGAGGGCGAGCGGCCCACAGAGCGTGCGGGCGAGTGGCTGGAGCTGGGGCTGAAGGTCTGGTAGTACTGCTCTGGAGTCCTGACGGCCGCGTCCGGCTGACAGTAACCCGGGCCCTGCTGCCCGTAGTGTTGGTACTTGGCAAGGTTTTGGTAATGGAGGGTTTCCTGGGCATGGTGCCGGCTCTGGAGGGCCTGCTGCTGCTGCTGCTGCTGCTGCTGCTGCTTCTGCTGATCGTAGCTCAGGCGGCCAGACTGGTAGGCGTGAAGGTTCTGGACCCGCTGCCCAGGGGCCAGGCTGGCATTGGCGGCCAGTGGCCTGTCGTGGGGCTGGGTGGATGGTGCGGTGCAGCTCTTGTAGGAGTGGGTGCCCTGCCCGCTGCCCTGGCCCCCCTGGCCACTGGATGAGTAGGTGGAGGAAGCAGGGAAAGACTGTGAGTGCTGGGGGAAGTGGCCACCCTGGGGGAAGGGCAGAGGCGATGCCATGTCGTTCTGCAGTTTTTGCCTCTGGAGTTTGGGGTATGCCAGGGGCTGCTGGGGCTGTGGCAGCTGCTGCTGGACATGCAGGGAGTGAGTCCGAAAGGGCAGCTGGGCGCCCTGCTCTGGGTATTGCCTGCCAGGGGGCACTGCGGCCTTTTTCATCAAGTTGTCATCATATTTGCCCACGCCCCCTGGCAGGGGCTGCGGCTGGGGGGGCGGCGGCTGGGGGGCCCCCCAGGCCTGCAGGCTCTCCTCGCCCGAGTAGCGGCCGGGGTACGGGCTGCTGTCCTGCACGCTGTAGCCAGAGAAGGCCGGCCTGCCCTGCAGGGACTGCTGGGAGGGCAGGCCCTTGCTGCCCCGCGCGGGGCCCGCCGGTGTGCCGGCGCTGCCGCCCTCGTAGCCGGGGTACGGCTGCGGGTTATAATAGTCCTTGGCCAGCAGCCGCTGCCGATCGCAGCTCAGCCCGGCCTGGCTCGGCTGTCTGTAATTCTCCAGGCGAGATGTCTCCTGTGAGGTCTGCTGGTAGTTCTGTTGTTTGCCATGGAAACCACACCTTTCTCGAAAAGACTGCATGACTCGGGCTGGTTATCTGTGAAAAGAGAAAGGGAGAGAGGGAGGGGGAGGGGAGGGGGCGGGGGCGGGGAGGAGGAAGGAGAGGGGGAGCGATTCAGACGGGCCATTTCCCTTCCGCTAGGAGAGCCTGCCTCCCACCCCTCTCCCCGCAGCTCTAAACGGTCTCCCCTTTGCCTGAGCCTCCCCACCAGCTGTGCACATATTGACAACTTCTGTGTCAGGGAGGTGTGCGCTGTAATTCCCGCTCCGACATCACCCCGCTGCCAGCTGAGCCTGGCCAAGGATGGCCGCGGGAGGCGCCTAAACCCACTGCCCTGTGCCCCGTCGCCCCCCTGGGAGCCGCCACCCCACCCTGCTCCAGGCCAGCTCCTCCCCTGCACCCCACCCACCACTCCCAGCGCTTCCCTGCCAGCAGAAGCATTTAGCTGAGCGATTCCCGCTCCCCTGTCCCCCGGGGCCAGCTGGGTCCTGCAATGGAGTCCCAGTGCGGCGGTGTTCAAGCTTGATCCAGCCAAGCCAGGAGAGAGGAAGGTTCGTCCCTGCCCCGAGAAGCCACTCACCAAAGCCCGTGGAGAGCGCGTACGTACACACACACACACACACACACACACACAGGCACACGCACAAGCACACACAGGCATACAAGCAAGCCCGCGCACAGGCGCGTGCCCTTGTGTGTGTGCGCGCGTGCGCGCGCGCGCGCGCGCGCGCGCTCACACACTCACACACACACACACACACACACACACACACACACACACCTCCTCTATCACTGCCATGCCATCTGGAATCTGTCTGTTCCTTCTAGCAGACGTCGATTAGGGGCTGTGGAGCCATTGTAGGCATAAAACGTCCCCTTCTCTGACTCCCAGTAACGCAGGACAGCGGCACCTGCCTCCTGTTTTGATATCATAGGTGCGTAAACAGATTACGTGGCCCAGAGTGAGGGAGTGCATGCTAATGGGGGACGGAGCCGCAGTCCCTTGGCCACAGAGGAGAGCTCCACAGTTGGGTGGGAAGCAGCCCTAGCCCTCCTGGGCAGCCCCTCCCGTCTCCATCTCCACGGGGTCAGGACCAGGGCACACCAGGCCAAGAGCCCATCTGTTTATGATTTTAGGGGCTCGGGGCCCCTGGCGAGGTCTAACCAGCCCCAAAGCAGGATCTTGGATCAGGAAATGACCCCGGCGAGGGGGAGGGCCCTTTGGGGCAGAGCAACTGGATTCACAAAACAGGCTGGCCTACAGTGTCCAGGCTAAGAGGTTCCCCTAACTGACTGACTGGCCAAGTCACCCTAGAAGGCCCTCAAAGGGGGGGGGGGGCAAGGAACGTTTCAGGATCATGAGAAATCACATCGAAGAGTTTGGCAGTCAGCCAGAGAGGCCCAGGGAGATCAGGATTTACCCACAATCATGCTGCTGGTGGGTGAGCCAAGGGGCAGAAAGCAAGGCCCAGGCCCCCAGGAGGGTACCTGGGACTTTACAGTTCCCAGCTGTTCCCAACACCAAAAGGGGAAGGGGTGGCCTGCCTCCCACAACATTCTGGGGCTATAGGAGGGACAAGAAAGGAATGAAGAGAAACAGAAGAGAGACATACATAGATATGAGAAAGAGGGGGCTCCCCCAAGAGGTCCAGCTCACTCTTCTCTTTCCTTTCTCAAGCACTGGGGCTGACCAGGGAGGGACAGGGGAGGGGTTCCATCCAGCTGAGTGGGGCAAGTCCAGGGCAGCCAGAAGCCCCCAGGAGCCCTGTTAGCACAGCCCGGGCCCACCTTCCCTGACCTCGGCAGTCAGCTGACCCGGACTCAGGCACAGAAACACTGGGGTTGCTGCGAGAGGGGACCAGGGACCCACAAGGCCAGCCCCTGCCCACCAAGCTCGTCAAAGCCAGCAGGCCCCACGACAAGCACAGCTCGGTGGCCTTCCCGCCCGCCTCTCCTGGGTTTTATCACAGGCATCCCCAACAAGGAGAAATGTGCCCGCCCTTCTGACCCACTTCAGTCCCATCCCTGGCGGCTTGGATCAAACATTACAGGAGGCGCCTGCTGCGACACGCCAGCCCAGAGGAGCTGGAGGCGGCGCTCGGCTCTGGCCTGGTGGCTCCCAGCCAGGTAGGCAGCCCCGTGCCTCCCGACCTCCGACCTCCACAGAGGAGGGTGCAGGCCAGACTGCCCGGGCCGGGCCGCTCGGGAGGGCGGGCGGCCCCCTTCCACCCTGGGGCAGAGGAAATGAGCAGGCGTACAACCTGGCTGGCAGTGGAAGTCACATTTATTAGGGTGTCACTGGCTGGCGGGCAGGGTCAGCAGCAGCCCCTGGCAGGGAGGGCCTGCTCCAGAGGACGCAGCGCCGCACTCCGCCTCCCGGCCCGTGTTTATGAGCCCAGAATGCGCAAACCCAGGCCCGCTCTGGTGGCGCAGCCTCGTATATCTGCACAAATTACATTTCGGCTTTTATGAGTCCCAGGTCGCTCCCATTTCCTGCTGAGTGTCCTGTGGATATCATTAACATTTCTACAGCTTTTTCTTTTATTTTTTATTTTTCTTCACATTCTCCAAAATGCATTACCAAAAACATCACTTAAAAAGAGAGAGTGCTATGACCAGTGTCCTCTCCCCACCCCCCTTAATCAGTCCAGCTGCTGCATCTTTTAATTTAGCCGAGCGGTATTAAAGGCGGGTTTCCCAATACACACGAGCAGCTGGATGCGGTGAAAGCATCTATCTCTAAGAAAAGACAGTTCAATTAAAATACAAGGAGCCCAGTGCCTGATGGAGAACTCAGGCAAAAATGCTCACCCCAACATCACCCTCCAACCCCAGGCGGCGGGGAGGGGGGTGAGGGAGGGTTGCAGGAACAAAGGCATGGCATCAAAGCCAGGATCTCCGCCCAGTTCTGGCTCTGGGAGCCAAGGGGGTCGACAGCTCTGCCAGGAGAAAATGGGGCTCTGCCTCTTTAAGAGCTGCCTCAGGCCTGCCACAGGCTCTGTTGTTATTAATTATTATGATTATGAAAAAAATAAAAATAAAAAAAATATTATGATTATGATTACTTTTCAAGAGCACTAGGACAGGATGAGGAGTGGGGAGACAGGCAGGCAGCAGGCAAGGGTGGGCAGCAGCAGGAGAGGGGCCCCAAAGAAGCCCCATTAGCAGAGATGGTGACCTTTGAATCTAGGGAGGGGGCAGAGGGGACAGACTGGGAGTTTGGCCTCAGTGGGTTCAGCTGGAGGGAGATGTTAGGGGCACCCCCTAATGCACCCTCATGGGGCTCCTTCGGGTCCAGTCTAGCCTCCCCATCCTTGCTTACCCCACCTGCCCTTGTGGACACTTGGGCAAGGGCTGAGCCCCCGAGTTCTTGAGGGGAGGGGGGGTAAGTCAGCCTGGAGTGTCCTCTAGATAGCAGGTGAAATGCTTAGGACAGAAGTCCCTTAGGACAACTCCTGGAAGACAAGTCTTGCCAGGCCCCCGGCCCGTAGGGAGCAGAGCAGGCTCAGACAGACATGCTCTCAGGGCCGCACACAGCACAGAGCGGGTTCAGGGCCCTAGGACTTCCTTCAGCACTGCAATGGGGCTCACTGCCGCTCCCCCTCCATCTCCTCAGCCAGGAAATGGGGGTGGGGAGCCAGGGTGAGCCTAGCCCTCTGCCCTCCCGTCAAAGGCACTGGTGGGGGGGGCACCCTTGGCTGGGAGTGCTTACTGGGTACAGCTTTGCTCAGTTAGCACTTTGACTATTCTGGCCTTCTGGAGGAAAAGGTGAGGTTTGGAGGGCAAGAGACCTACCTTGAAGGCCACCCACAGTGCAGTTCCTCTCTCTAGGTGACCAGACCCAGAGAGTGTACCTCCCCTCCCCTGGACCCCACACCAAGAACTCCCACTCAGAGGAAGGCACTGGAGGAAGACAGCAAGAAGGTGATTGAAGGGGAGGGCAGAGATCTCTGTAGCCTCTGAGGCCCTGAAGGCCAGGTCACCCTCTTTTATTTGGGACCAGGGAGGACCCAGTCAGGGAGGTCCACTCATGAGCAGCAGTGGTCACTGGCCACTTACTGTCACCCCTTAACTGCTGTCCCTGGGCCCACAGTCCCTCCAGTGCCCCGGGTCAGGGAAATGGGCGTGGGGGCGGGGGGCAGAGCTGCCGCAGCTCCCACAGGCCACCAGTGGAGCCCAGCTAGGGCTGGAGGTTTTCCTGAGAGAGGGGCAGGGTAGGAGACAAAGAAGAAGACAGAGGGAGGAAGGAAAAGAGTGGACTGGGAGAAAGAAGGTTTCTGTCCCCAAGCAGTGGCTGTGAGGCCACTGGTTCCATCCCATCCACTTACCCAAGGTTGTTTTATGACCCGGTTTCCTGATTTGTAGCTGTAGGGGAAAATGTAAAAACCCAACCACTCCAGGCCTGCAAACTACAGGGAAAGAGAAAGTTGCCTGGGTCAGGAGGCTAGGGATGGGGCCCGGGGGTGTCCAGGGAGGAGTGAAGGAGGCAGGATCACCTGGAGCCTCCCCTATCAGTGTGAGTGATGAATACCAAGTAGGAAACCTCGAATAAAATAATAAATCACTAGCCAGCTTTCCTGCTGTCCTGTGGGGTCTCCATTGAATCCTAAGGGCCTGGCTCGAAGATGGGAAGGGATGAGCTTCCAGAGTCCACAAAACAGACAGCCAGGCCCTGCAGGTCCCAGAGACAGGTTAGGGTCTTTGGCCCTAGGGGCTGATGGGGAGGTGAGCCAGTGGGAAGAGCCCTGCTTGGGGCAGAGGGGGACCATCCTGGGGCATAAAGACTCCCAGAGAGCAAGACAGTCCCCATCTCAAAGGAGGGCCTCTCAGGACCACCGCATACAGGCAATAGCCCCAACACACTCAACATGCAGCCCTCCTCACTTGTGGGCCCCCATGTGTGCCCCACGGGAGAACTCCATGGGAGTCCAGCATGCACCTCTACAGGGCCTTGGAGAGGGGGACCTGGGGGCTGGAGGTCCTGAACACTGAGGGGCAGGCTAAGGGGTGAGAAGTGCAAGAAGCCAGAAGACGGC